TTAATCAACCGATTAATTGTTTTGCTTAAATAATTATTGTATTATATCCGAAATATGGCAAGTTTTAAACGTTAAGTGCACAAAAAAAACTATTTTTTTAACCACGTTTTGAGATTTTCACTTTTTCTTATTTTTTGAAAAATGATCTACAACGGACATGTGCTGTTTCTGAAATGGCCGATTCAAATGGGACAAAATTTTTATTTTTCTTTTGATTTTGTCTGACTTTTTCGAGGATTTCAAATCTCTGTTTGCATATTTAAGAGTATAAAAAATTCTTATAAATAATTTAATGGTGTACATTTTCGCAAATTGTTGACAAGGATGACCAAATTCTATTTTGCTCATCTCAAAAAGGTATGCGTTGGAAATTCCAGGCTTAGTTGACAAACTATCAAATAGAGATATAATTTTTTTTTACTAATTTGAATATATAAAAGAGAAATTTTTCGCTGGGAGATTTTAAATTGCCAAACACCTTTTCTTCAGAGTCGTATGCTTTAAAATGCGTTAACAAGTTAGAATTGTTAAGTAAATTGCATTCTTCTGAGAAATTTATGCAAATTTCGCAAGAGTGGATATGTAATGATTTTTTGATTAAATAGCCACATACATAGTTAAATGCATTTTGAGTGGTCACATTGAGTAGTCACATTCAGAAATCGTTATTGCCCCAACTGATTGTTTTGAAATATATTTAATTTTCATTAAGCGGAGAACTTGTTTTCCTAAGGGAAAAACGAATCCCGGGATTCCGCTAGTGCCGAGGAGCCGCCACTGCAATTGGAGTATATCCGCAGTAATCCTCAAACCCAGATTTTATAGTTTTTGTGATTGTGATACTTGTTTTAAATTAAAAAAATAGATAATAAGACCAAAAATCAAAATGATGCTGAATGATCGAAATAAAAACTAACTCAGGTAGTGAATTCCGGATACCCTTGAAAAAAAATATATTCTTACAAATTTGTTTAAAATAATCAAAATGATTACCAAATAACAAAAGATTGTTAATATAAAAATCAATATATTTTATTGACGTTACAATTTCTATACTTTCATCATTTATTTTAAGGTTAATTCCATTAATATTTAGACAATTGTACTGGTATTTCGGCGTTATTAGGTCTTTCCCTTTGCATTGAAAGTGTAGCACTGAGCTACGCCACTTCTGAAAATATCGTTCCATCCATACAATTTATATAAATCGAACGATATTTTCATAAGTGGTGTAGCTCAGTGCTACACTTTTGATGCAAAGGAAAAGATCTAGTATCATAGCTTTGGTCGTATTTAACTTTAATATATTTAATTTTAAGTAGGTGTTTAAGGTAAACATACCAGTCTTTGACACAATTAGAGAATTTTTTTAATTAAAAATAAATATAGACTAATACGTAAACTTCAGACCTTTTTCATGTCCACTAAAAGATATATGGGGGTTTATATGAATAACCAAAAGCAGTTTTAGCAACATTAAATACGGTTTTCAGGTAAGTGGAGAGAAAAAATAAATGGCTATAAAATTGCCAATGATTGACACCCAGTTTACGAGATTGAAATTAACTAAATAAAAAATAACTGTAGATAATGACTGCTTAAAATGATGTATTTATTAAATAGGTAGGTGTTTACTTAAGACATTAAAGTATTCAAAAACGTAAACATATATATTATAATCAAAACTTATTAACTGAAATTCTCATTAACAAAATCATTGTAATCATCAAGAGCATTTTAAAACACAAATAATAATTAAGAGCATTCTAGAAAACAAAACTTAAAAATAAAAGTACCGAACCAAAGTATATCTGGAATAATACAGACACATTCACTAGATATTACATAGTTATAAAGCCTCATAAACATCAACAGAGGTGAGTATATCTGAAGACGGTAGTTTTCCCAATGAAGCTCTTTTATTAACTGTAGAAATATCATTTTCATGGCTGTCACCTGGACTGTAAGATTTTCCTTCTCATCCATGCTAAGTATATATTTTTGTCACCGTTACATGCCGTTGTTACCTTTGGGGTTTAAATAAAATGCACTTTTGACAGCATTGAAAACTCTTTAGTAGACCTGTTATTGACACAAATGTCAATTACTGGAAAATGTTATTATTCAAAGTTATATTTTAAGAGATTTACACGATTCTCTAATATATACCTTAAAGTGTAGTATAAAAATCATACTGATATATTAAAAACCAAAGACACAATAAAAAAAAGAATTATACTACTTACATTTTGTGCTTCTAGTTATTACACAACAACACTATACTTATTAATGTTGTCATCTCAAAAACTACCATATTATTTAAGGGTGGTAACATATTTATGTGGTAATTTAAAAAAAAGATATAGGTTCCTTAAAAAATTGGACAATAAAAAATGTTGTAGATTACTGGCAGAGTTTTGAAGACTGGTCGGTTTACCTTATTTATTGCAGAAAACAAAATTCATTATCTTTATAGCATTTTATAAATCTTTATCGAAACAAGCTAATAAAGTATCCTCTGCGAATATATTAAGAAATTCAAGGTCTATACAAAGAATCAAGTTATTATAATACAGAATGAATAAGAGGGTGCCTAACACACTACCTTGGGATACACCTACATGGATATTATATTTGAGATGGCATCCCAGACTTTGACTTTTTGTTTTCCATCCATTAAGTAGTGAGATAACCATTTATACACATCACCCTCAATACCATACCACTCTAGTTTTCTTAAGAGAATGTCTTGATCTCTGGTTTCGAAAGCCTTTTTTAGATCTAAGAACACAGCTACTACATATTTATTAGCACCTACTTCCTTTCTGAATTTAAATTTAATCGCCTCATTCAAAATGCAGCTTATGGACATTTTACATCAACCAGCAATAATTAATCTCTTACATTAGTCAAGTCACATTCAAAGTAAATGCAAATGACATTAATATCTGGACGTCAAAATCCAGACTGTGGATAATACAGATTTAATTCCGGCGAAAAAAAAAAGTTGAAGTGAATACCTACATACACATTTGTCATACAAAAGCGTTGATGCAGTAGGCTGGATGGGGTCATCTTAACCGCTACAAAATGTATAAATAAATAATATTGAACATTACATATATGTATGCATATTCTTTCATTAAAATACATTTCATATTAATTAATGGTTTTATTTATCTCCTCAATTATTTACCCACAAAAGTGATTTATTAACGGTTTTAGCAAGTTCTATTTTTGTTATGAACTCTAATGACCTATTTGGACAATTTGATAACCCGGACGGGATATGTTCACAATTAATCCAGTTTATCGATGCTGTACTGTACTATTATGAGATGATTCTTACTTAATATGTTATCTAAATTTGATGCCACAGAAACTTTTAATCAAATTTTCATTATAAGGTATGTTGTGAATTTTAATTTTTTTGAAAAATAATTGTTCCATTTTCTTAATAAATAAATAGATACCAATACACAAATAATTAATATTAAAGTATGTAACCTCCCACCTCACTATTATAGGGTGACCATATTTCTTTTGACTCAATGCTGAACACGAATACAACATTGATGAACTTTGGAGAGGCCTATATTTTTTGCTCTTCCAAAAATACAAAAACAGAGAAATCATATAGTACTATGTTTTTATCTTATTTGTTAGGTTTCAATAATAGCTTTTTACTGGACAATAACATCGTTTTGCATTACAAGATCAAATGCTGGAGAGACTTTGAAAATGCTGTACAATACAGCAAAATGCTGTACATATGGTCACCCTACACTAATGCATATCAAATTCATTAAAAAATTCTGTTGGATCCAAAATTTTACTAAATATATACAAAACATCCAATTCACATTTTAACTAAGTGAAACAGCTGTGGGCATTTTCTAGGATAGGATATAACAGAAAAAATTTGGCGATAAATTAGTTCTTAAGGTACCATTTGGGAAGGCGAGACTGAGTAAAGCGACAGCGAAGGAGACCGAAGACGGTCTCTTCACGCCTAAACACATGTAATAATATGAAACGCATTTGAGATTTGCTGCCTGTCGCTTGAAGTCGGTCTCGGACTCCCTTTCCCAAATGTAACCTAAGGCGCCAAAGTAACTCTTGCTAACCGGCGCCGACAGGTCTAGCTAGCCAGGTCTGATTATTAAAATGTATTTTCTTGTTCTGGCAGATTGTATTATTATTGGAAGTTGGAAAAGTGTAATAACAAAAATATGACATAACTGTTCTATAAAATATATATATTGTAATAGTTATTTACCTTTGAAGATGTACAAAATTCCAGCATGGAAACTACATCTACGTCAACGTTAACATGCTCTCCGGTCAAAGAATATTTTTTGGCATGAGTCGGTTCCAAACATGATCTGCAAATTGTGTCTGCTAACTTTTCAGTCATTTTATTAATCTATTTGGATTTAGGATTTTCCTATAAACATTGGCAAAACGTAAACAGAATCTTCTTTAACTGACAACTGTCATTTATTTTTAGACAGCTGGTCTCTTTCCAGAATGGGCAGTAAACTATTGATTTTTTACCTAAAGAATTTACTAGTCTCCATAGGATTTATACAGAACACTTTCTTGACAATACAGTTTTATTCATCAACTATTATTTAATAAACTTCTAATTTTTTTTCTTCAGGTTTCAAATAATTTATAACGTTTGTGGCTGCATTACTAACTTAAATGCAGACCTGCTGATTCTTCTCATTTCTTAAACGGCCTCGTTTATGCCAATAAACGGACAATCCTTTGCAGAAAGGCCTTTAAATGACAAAAAAGCCTTATTTTCTTTTATATTATGATCTTTGCTTATTTCTCAGAGGATCATTATTGTTATGTATATTTTCTGTATATGGGTATAAACAAAACAAAACTTCATAGGTGAAATTAGGTTTATTTTCAAAACCAGAAAATAAAAACAACCATATTTAAACAAACAAAAATCATTTAAACATATAAAACATTACAAAATAATTTACACGACCTAACCTTCGACGCAAAGAAAAATGATTAGGATGTATACATCATTTTTCTTTGCGTTCGCTCAAAAGAGAGTTGTGCATTTTGGTGATTTCAGCCTCTACTAAATCAGTCACAACATTGCCATTGACATCCACATAGTTCGCTACACTTTTTTTTATACTGGTCTCTCGTTTTTGCTTCGTCTTGCCATCGACAAAGACAAGAGACAGAGTATATTTGTCATCATATCTAAAATATAAAAATAATGTACACTTTTGAAAGTGATACCACTCCTATATCACCTTTTAAACAAACAAGGTGCATATTAGAATGTTAATATTTGGGAGTAAATTACGTAAACAAATCTTAAAAGCAATATATAATCATGTTAGTATTATTAGATACTTACTTTGGCAAATAAGAACTAACTTCCCATATATTTTCCTTCTTAGAGCTATCTTTCTGAACACATACTGCAAATATTCCTTTTTCTTTATAAGTGGTGTACAAAGTTAAAATTCCCATCATTATGAAGTAAGTAGTGACAGAGAATATTAAAATAGGTCTACAAAAAACATGAAATATCAGAAGATAGACAAAATTAAATAAATATTGTATAAAAATATTCATGTAACATTTATACTGTACCTAGATTGTGGAAAAGGATACAAATAATCCCAAACGAGAGCAAACATAGCTACACCCACAGCTATGCCACATATAACTAATCTACCATCCATAAGAGAGAAATTTTCAACATAATGGTATTTTCCAGTAAGTACCTAAAAACCAGAGATTTTAGTAAATAAAAACAGCTAATCACATTATATAATTTACTTCTTTAACCGCATCATCCAATGCATTTTTAACTGCTGCACCATCCCATTTGTTTATCTTCACGAGCTAAAAAAAATAAGGTTATTTATTAGAGCGGCAAAATAAAAAGATAAGAAATGTAAATATACTTTGTCATCTTTTTCTTTTGGAGACATTATTAGTTGGTTTATTCAAAATTATTTATTTAAAGAGTAAATTAAATATTAACAGCACCACAACAGCACAGCTGTCAGACCGACTCCAAAAAAGACACGTTCTTTACATTTTTACCACGTCAGAAACGTCAGCTGTCATAATTCACAACAACAAATGCGTTTTGTGGATGAACTGGGTATAGAAAATCATTACAAATTTTGTTGCATACGTCTTTTAATAGAAACGATTACATACTATATAGTAAAAAATTAAATATAAAAGGATTAAAAAGCATTAAAGTTATAATTTATGAGTGGTTACAAATTTAAGTTAAATGAAACTTCAATATAGAGTAAGAAAAGAGTAAACCAAAATAACTAAAAAAACAATATTCTTCTCTTTGAAGGAAGCTTGATCTTAACTGTAAAGGACAAACAGCTAGGTTTATGTTCTTCTGTTGTGTTCATAAACAGGCGCTGAAAAATGGTAATAACCTTAGACTAGGTAAGGTAATAACTAACAATAGTATTTCCATTGCTAACAAAATTCCCTAAATCTGGAGAAAATCTACAATCAGTAGGAAAACGGGAAATTTTCTAAAATTTAAGGATTTTTTAAAAACTTCTTTGATTTTGTTATATTTAAAAATATACAGTGTGTCTACTTAAGTTGGAACTATATGGAAAACTTTTTATTATTGGTTTTATGAAAAAAATGTATTCTTGATAAAAAGTTCTGCATGGTTCAAAACTTAAAATGCAACCATCAGATATATTTTTAAGCCGTATACAAGGTTTGTCAAAAATATGAATTTTAAAAAGTAAAAGTATCTTTATTTTTGACAAACCTCTTATACGACTGATAAAATTTAATATCCGATGGTTGTATTTTAGGTTTTAAACCATGTTCAACTTTTTATGAAGAATTACTTTTTTTTCCTAATATTAATAACAAGTTTATCATATGCCACCAACTGTCTACAAGATGGGGGAATTTATCCTACCGTTGTTTTCGGATTAATAAAGCGATCCAGCTAGTTCATAATCATCCCATCTACGTTATTAAGCTGCAATTCCGGGCTCTTTCAGCTCGCATGCAATGTACTTTTAATGTAACCCTAACATCCATGCAATCACCGCATGTCTGCAATTGCAAGACTTTTATAGCACATCTCATAGAGGTTATAAAATGAAGTTCGGAAATGTTATTATGTTAATTCGTTCTGCAGCATTATAAAGTGTGTCCACGAATGAACTTAATTACACTGTGACGTTTATTTATTTTAAACAACAGTTTATTTGATAATAATTTATTTGATAATAATATTTATTTGAACACATTTATTTTAATTTAATTTAATTTATATATATTTTGAATGTCGTTAACTTGTTCACTATTTATCTTCACAATGTTTTTATACGACTGACTGCACTGTGTTCCACCACCAATATGTATATACACATTTAAAATTATGGTGAAGGTTCTAGAATGTTCTCACCAATTCTAGTAACATTATCACGTTCAATCTGGAATGTACTCGAAAGCGTTCTCGCCATAGTCACATTTATTTGGTTTTAAGGGGTTTAATTTATATGTATGATAATCGGACAAGTTGAGTCTCAAAGGCCAAATAAGACAGAGAGGGACTTGGAGGATTAGAGCATGACTAATTAATGAAATGGCTCGCATTACAATACCTACTTGTAAAAATACTTATTTTAAATAAAAAAAAAACAGTAATTCTTCTTAATTTTTCTACACCCACATGAATATTAGCTTATCTACGCACAGAGTACAAAACAAAAAAGTATGCTATTGCATTCAACTGAACGAATGTATTTCATATCTATTCTAGGTAGTGAGAACACTACAAAAAATTAAATCCACCAATCACAGTTCATATTTTGGTCCCCCCACTATTAGTATTTTTAAAATTTTAAATAAGAGACAATTCTGTCAAACTAATTGTATATTTTTTAGTTATTTAAGATGAAATATACATTAAAATGAGTTACTTTTGTGCAAAATCGATAAATAGTATTTCCATTTTTATTTCGTTCACATTTAAAAATAAATTTTAATCAAACTATATGAAGCTAATGTAATTATGAGTATTTAAACTAAAATCCTGAATGTAGCGGCGGTGGTGAGTACACGGCGGCTGTCTTCCACGCGAGAGGCCCGGGTTCAAATCTGAGCTGGAGATTAATTATAAATGAAATCTTTTTTCATGTTTATTTTATTTTATAAATTAGTAAGAGCCATAAATTATTTTAAAATTAGTTATTTTGTCTTAACCTGATTGTTTTTCCACATAATGCGTTTCTTATGTAATTTCGCTCTCTATTCGATTTGTTACGTGTTGATCTTCTTAAGGACGGTATTGGGGCCTTCCCAGCTCCGTCGCAGTTTCTGACAAAGTCGTCCTCGGCTCTTGGGATTGTACATCAGCCATACTGGGTCGCCTCTCTCAAAATGTGTCCCTGTGACATGCATGTCGATTTTAGCTTCTGCTTTATCGCTTTTGACTCTCAGACGTTCCCAAGCGAATTCGTAGACCTTTGTTCTGCTCATCGGCAATTGACCCAATAAAATATTTCCCGAACTCGCGCCAGTGTTCTTTTAGTACCAAAATGTCCTGCCGAACGGCTTCTATGAAGCTCCTCCAACACATTTCTGACATGTGATATCGGCAGTACCAATTGGCAGACTATATGTACTCCATCGGGGCTCTCCCACTTACGGTGCAATAGGCCATTGTGAAGGTACAGGGAATCCCACTGAGTCCAGTACCCCACTGTATTTGACTACCTCTTGCCAAGTAGACTTTATTTTTGAGCGATTCTCGGACCTTCAAGTCATTGTCTTTTTTGCCCTTTCTCAGGCTTTCATCACGCTCTGACTTGATAGTTGTTGCACGAAGAGTAACTTCATCAACTGGTTTCTCTCATTCTTCGAGCATTTTACTGTACCGGCTTTGTCGTTCTAAACAGGGTCGCCTGGAGAAAATGTCTGCGTTACTATGGAGACGCTCTCCTCGATGTTCTACTTCCTGGCTTTTGCTAGAAAGTCGGCTAGGTGTGGGTGTTCGGCTTCTCCGAGATGCATATCTGCTGTAATTATTTCTTGTTAGATTTATCTGTCACTTTCTGGTCTCACTCCCTGGTTCTCGATTTAAAGAACGAGCCTCTAAAGGTTCTTTGAAGGTGCCCGATTCTTTCACAATTGAAGTATCTCCTGCTTTCATTTTGATTGTTTCGATGAATATTTTGCAGGATATTTAAAATTTGTGAGAGGGTAGGTTGGGAAATAGCCTAGCGTAACCTATTTGTTATTATTTTGTATCTTGAAGCAAACGATCCAAATCATGGTTTACACCTCAGAAGAACGATTTAAAATTGCCGCACTCCATTTTAGCAACAATAAAAGGGCCCGGGAAACTGCAAAAATTTTTAATGAAAGACATCCTGGTAAGAATCTCAGCTATTCCTAGGTAGTAAATTTAATAACTAAATTCATGGAGACCGGATTCGTTGCTAACAAAAAACATGAAAGGCAACACACTGTTACTAACGAGGCTGCACAGGTTGTAATTTTGGATCATGTTCAACTGCATCCTACTTCAAGCACCAGAAAAGTAGCAGCATTGTATTTAGAAAAATAGATAGATATGAGAAAACAGCATTCACAATATCCAGAAAAGTGCTGGGATTTTGGGCATTAATATTGTTGGTCTCTTTTTTCTATCTAGTAGCATGGGGGATGCTTGAAGACTTGATCTACTCTGGCATTGTGGAGATTCTCGAAAACGACTATTATGTAAATCCCAGAAAATGATGATGGCGCCCCGCCACACTAAGCAGCTCCTGTACGTGACTTTTTAAATCAACATTTTCCCCAGCATTGGATTGGTAGAAGGGTTTACATTGAATTGCTCCCAAGAACGCCAGATCTATCACCATTGGACTGTTTCTTGTGGAATTATTTAAATAGTGTTATTTATAAGTTATAAGACCAAATCTACATCTTTAGAAGATCTTCACCACCGAACTGTGCAAGCGTGTGGAGAAATAACCCCTGAAATGCTCCAAAATGTTCGAGAAAATGTTGAACAAAGACTTTATTACTACATGGAAGTAAATGGGTAGTAATTTGAATATTTAGTTAATTAAAACTTGTTTGGAAGCTTTTTTTTTTCAATTTATTTCACTGAAACATTAATTTTAGCAGAGAATAAAAAAATGTCAGCATGTTTGAAAAGGGAATTGAAATGCCTTTAAAACGATGTGCTACTTGACCCCTCGAGACATTTAATATTATTGAAGGGATTGCCACTCCGTTCAGAGGGATGAATCCATGAATTAAAGATCAAAAGAAGTCCCCCTTGCAATCAAAATCAAGCTGTCTCGGGGATTTCTCAAAAAACTTCTCCTAGGAAAATATGACAATGTACCCAGACAGCACACCAAATCCTTTGGATATCTACTGCACATCCCAATATCCACTGAATGTCCAGTCCATGGTGGATATCTATTTTATATCCATGTTATGTAATTTAAAGACATGCAAATGTCCATAAATAATAGTAATTATAGAGCAAATTATTAAAAAATTACGCCATTGTGCTCGCCATTGTGCTCGCCATTGTGGCTAATAGTACCGTTCAGATATTTAAAATTATTTTTTTTAAGGTGTATTCAATATCCCATTGACATCCACTAAATATATCAAAGTCTAGGCACGAACGCAAACCATCGTGGATATCCACTAGATGTTATTTGATTTTGCTTACTAAGTATAGATGGCGATACTACTTTCGCATCTATTCATGCTCGACCCGCCGTAATTGAGTTCGATCGAAATTTTTGTTCTAATCAGACTCCATTAGAAACTGAAGTCGAGAATTTCCATTTATTGCTGAAGAGTCCTAATAAGGATGACTTTCTCCTTGGTGGGCAAAATTAAAGGCAGAGTATTGAAAATATTTTGAGTGTTAAAAATATTTTTTATTTCTGCTATTTTCTTTCGACGTTATTCAATAATCATTGGTTACTTATGAACCTCTACTAAAGATAAAATATGTTGCTGAATATCCGAATATCTTCTATATCCTGGGATATAGACGGACATTTGGTTGGATATCCATATTGGATATATTGAATATCCACAAAATATATTCTGTAGATATCTCTGGGATTTCTTGTATTTTCTGGAAGATACCCATTAGATATTTTGCTGGATATCCATTAGGA